CTCCACCCATCCAACATTGCACAACTCAACATTCTAAATCAATTTATTGCCAACAGGGTCTGTCTATCATAGGGCAGCTGGAGAATGTGGAGGTTTCCTCTTAGATACCCAAAACAGAAAGAACAAACTATCCTCTCCTAAATCTGCTATCAATCACCTCATTAACTTCTGATGACTTGACAGTGAGTCCATAGCACCAACGCAAAGAAAAGTGAAGCAAACACCAGTTTGCTTTTCTTTCGTCTTTGCATTTCAGAAATTACTTCGGAGACAGTGACAAGTAAGCATTGGGTAAGGTGGGGGTGACTAGGGACTGGATGTGCATGGAGTCTTTCCAAGGCATGTAATAGGGTTTGTCTTCACATGTGTACAAAGCTCTGCTCCTATTCTTCAAGCACTTACTCCAAACATTGAGCATCCAAGCCAACCGCATGACTCACACGACCAGAGATAGATGTGCTGGCTCTGAAACACAACCCAACAAGGACCTAGTGGCAGAATTCCATGACAAGCTTTTTAAGACATCTACCAGCATGCTTCAAGGGTCCCATGAGCAAGAACAGAAGGGGAAGAGGAGCTAAAGGCTACAACCAGCAAGAAAAACAGCTTGACTTCACTGGTATTCCTTACACCTTTTAGGGAGTTGGTCCTTGACTCTGAATAGCACTGCATTAATGTTCCTTACAGGTAGAAATGACACTGTGCTTGATAAATAGGATGGTGAAGATGTTGGATAGAAGAAATGCATTATTTGGGATCATATAGGGTGTAGTGTCATGAGCCTGATAAGAATTAGGAACAAGTAGACTGTCAGGGTTACAAGCCCAAGGAAAACACACTACCTATATGTATGATGGAGCCAGCAGTCAGCTCCCAAAACACCAGAGATTTCACAAGGAAGTTGATGCTACAAGCTGAGGTATTAAAATCCAAAATTTTCTGACTCATCAAGCTATAGACTAACAACCAAGCTTTGTTGTTGTTGTTTTTAACTTCTTGCTCCTTGCCAAAGGCAGAAAGGACTTTTTAGCAGCTCCTCCCCTTCGCCTGACTCATCAACCAATCAGAATTCACCACATACAATCAAATTAACCAATCAGATTCATCCCTACTAGATGCATAATTTACATGAGTGGGATCAAATTTGTCCATTCCTAGGATATCGAAATCCCTGCTTCAAAACACTACTTGGCAACCCACTTTCCAGACCCTTCCTGATGCTGCTGGGAGTCACCATTTTACTTTCCAATAATGCCTTGCTCACGTGCCCTTCTTCTGTTGTGTTTGCTCAGCATTCTTTGAGATCATGAAGCAAGGAACTCAACTCCAACTCAGAAAATGGGCAACAATGCCATCCATCACACTATTTTCAAATGCCTTAGGAAGGAGTAGCATGTGTGTCTGTGCTGAGGGTAGGATCAGGCAATGCTAAGAGAAGATACATTTGGGAAGGCGGTATATAGTTGTAAATTATTCTCCCAGCTTGCTATTTTGTTTTGTTTTTCTATTTCCCTAGAGTTTCATTTTGCTTTATGTAACAAAGGTATATAAACCATCAGGCTTGGTAAAAAAAAAAAAAAAAAAAAAAAAAAAAAAGCTGGTGCATTCCCATGTTGAGACCTTGTGGATGTTTCCCTTGCCCATATTACTTCTTCCGATTCTTCTACCAAAACCTATTATTGACTCATATAAAGACCGATAGTGTAACTTAATTGCTAAGAAAAGGCACAGGAGAGTATTATTTTGTTGCACATCTATGGAAGAAAAGTTGAAGCACACTTATTCGCTAACTCACCCGGAACCTGTACAGGAGCTGTGTTGATCTTCTACTGAGCTCTCCTTGAGTCCCTCCAACCAGATCTCTGTACCCACCTACCAGCTTCTGTATATTTTACTCCCAGTGGCTCTAGCCTGCCACCCTCTTCAGAGGGCTAACTTAGGATTGCAGAAGACAGTTCATCCAGACTCCAAACTCAAGAGGGTGAGCCCAAGTGTGCAGGACTTATAACCTCAGTAACTCATAGCAATGGCTGCCCCACGCACCTCAGGAGGCCAAGCATTCTTTCCCCGTCAGTTAAGTCACAGAAAAGAAATTCTCCCTTATTCCCAAAATCAAACCACTTCCTCCTCAACATCCTGATAATCCACACACATGCTTAATGTTTCATCCCACATCCGCTTGGTTGCTATGCATGAGCCATGCTTCTAAGCAAACATTCATAATGATGGGTTTCTGCTCTTTCCTGCTCCTGCAACCACCCCATGTGTAAAGCCAGTATAGGCAAAGCCCCTGTTGCAGCACCCAGTTCTTTGCTCATTTCTTTCTCTGTATCACATGTAAATGCTAGATACACGCCACGTGTGAATTTACAATACTGGGTTTTTGTTTTTGTTTTCTTGTTTTTGTTTTTGTTTTTTTTTTTAACACATAATTTGGTTGGAAGGAGCCTTCAAGTTTGTTCAAGTTTATATTTAGGGACAGGAAGCTTGCGCTTTGGCAATATAGCTGGATCTGTATTGTGACCACCTGAGCTATCCTACAGTCCTCCCTTGAGAGAAATGTGTGTGCTCATGGTGTCTGAACTTCATACACTCTCTTGTCACTCACTGACCAGGGGATTCTTGTACGACCTTCTCAAATGATTCCAGAACTAACCATTGGCTGAATAACTATATACTCTGGGATAAGTATGATTAATTTTTAGAAAGTGATCGTCAAAATCTGTAATAACTGTACAGGACGGAGGGCACCAGCTAAGCAGAGACAGTGGGTGTAGACAGAGGGTAGGCTGAAGCACGGCCCAGAATGCACGCTCTTGTTATGCCAGGCACGCCATTTGCTGTGGGTCCTGAGGCAGCCTGGGGATTCCCTTGGCAAGAGAGAAGCTCTCAGATGGGGCATGTGGCAGCTGTCATCTGCACTGACAGCTGCCATCTGCCATTAGGTCCAGAAGTATTTCACACTTGGCAATCACTACAGCTACACTGTAAACCTAGGGACCCTCGGTTCTGGTTGTACTTTAATGGCAGGAATCACCATTTTTAAAATACTTACTTCGAAACCATGTTAGAGAGAGAGAATAAAAAGGAATGAATGTGTGAATGCAAATAGAGCATAAAAGACTACGTGTGTCATTCTCCCTCTCCCTCCCCCCTCCCCCCTCCCTCTTCCTCTGAAAAGCAGATGAAGCCTCCATTCATAGTATCAAGAACCTGTGGTCAGCCTCTGACTTCTTGACTTTAGAATTTCATCCCCTAAGCTGTGTTTAAGAACTTTTAATGAAAAGGCTCTCGCAGTGTTTTCCACTGGTGAGTTGCCCGCCTGGGTTGCCAGGAGCTGAGCTCAGGAAAATGTGAGGCATTGCTCGTCAAGCAGAAGGGAAAGTGGCCAAATCAGGGAGGAGAGCACCAGAGACAAACAATAATATTATTCAGTAGAATTCTCTCCCTGGGGCTTCCATTCCAGGATATCCAGAAAAGTCCCTGTCTGAGGTCAGCAGAGCCTAGGCGACCAACACCATCAGCTTGACCCCTCACTCAGCTGCTGCCAAGAACAAGAAACCATGGTGTGACCAACAGGAAAAGGTGTTCACTTTGGAAGACAGTCTTAGTCTTCCAAATTAGAATTAATGAGGAGCTTTATTGTGTTGCTAGTGAGTAATTCATGGGCAATTTAACCAGAGGATGATCTCTATAGACTTAAGATGGACATACTGCTTTAAACCCCAGAAACTTTCAGAAACCCAGTCCCCACAGAACACAATCCAAGATAAGCATGGGACTCAGCAACTCTGAATGAGTGAAAACACTAACTTCTGTGATTTAGCATTACCAGAGTTTTTAAAAGGCTAAGTCCTGGGCTCCTCTCGCCTTCACAACCTAGCTAGGCCATCTGTCCCCAATATGCCAGGTAAAGTAACAAGTAAAAATGGCAAGAGATTTATTCACTATGGCCACATTAGAAAGAAGAAAAAATAGAAAGGTCTAGTGCTAGCCCAGTCTGACTCCAGGGTACCGGTGAGAGGATTTAGAGAAGAAAAAGCTGTGCATAACTAAGTAGTCCTGGTTGACATGGGGTCCCCGCTCATCATCGGCCAATCACTGTCTCAGTTCCAGTCTATCCAGTAAATTGTTAAAACTGTGGAATTCTCTACCTGGGAGACCAACCCCTCAGCCCTACCCTTTTCCCCTAAGGCATGAGATTCCTGAAGAAATTCCAGTTCTGAGGGACGGTCATTTCAATACTCTGATAGGTAAAGGGAGTGACCCAATAGTCTCTAGACTGTCTTCTCTTCCACCAGGATGGATACATTGGTCCATTTGGGCTTCTGACACAAAAATGCCTCTGGTTGGGTGTCTCACGGACAACAGAAATTGGTTGTTCACTGTTCAGTGGGGTCTGAAGTCCAAGCTCAAGGTGCCAGCAGATTCAATGTCTGGGAGGGCTTTTCTTCCATTTGATAGACAGCGTCTTCTTGATGTACCCCTCACATGTTAGGAAGGGTGAAACTACTCTCTATACCTCTTTCTTATAAAAGGATGTTCTGCTAATACATAGTACTTATCCTAGTATTTTAATATAGCAAAATATTAATAAATTCAATAAATCTCCCAACTTGCAATTTGAAGAATTAGTAGTACTCACAAAAAGAAACTTCCCAAGTATTTGTATATAATGTATGACACATGCAAGTGTGTGTGTACATGGGTCATCACACAGGCATACATATGTTGAGGCCAGAGGAGGATGTCAGTGTCCAGCTCTATCATCCTCTGCCTTATTCTCTTGAGACAGGATGACTCACTGAACCTATAGACAATATAATGAGTAAAATTCTAAATGTCATCAAAATCTGTTTGATACAGTCAATGTCTTCTTACTTGACTGGAAAGAGCTTGAAGAATCAGAGCAGGAAGAGCTAGTCCCAGGCTCGGCAATGTTTATTTGTTTTGCCTCAAGAAACATCATGTCTTATCTACAGGTTCCCAATCTTTTTTTTTAAGTATGTATTATTTTATTAAATGTCATTGACTTGATTGAAACTGCCAAAAGTGTTCATGATTAGTGCTGTAGCCGTGAGCAGCTTGTTCTAGAAAAGCACACAGGTGTAAATAAAACTGAACACAACCATGAGAACAGGCAGTACCATAGTAGCTCCTTAAGCACCTTAGAGGGCATGGACCTCTTTCAACACACACTTCTTCACAGACACAGAACACCCACGTTCATAATGACTCCAAATGGCATCCTAATGACTCACAAGTCAACAATGGTGAAATAGGCCAAAGTTACAAAATGAGTTCCCAACAGTGACCGGCATCCACGATCAGGTCAAGGCAGTGCAGGTGTGGTGTTCCGCTTCACAACAGCCCACACTGGACTCAGTCTCTGGACAACACTGGCAGGTAGTGTTCTCAAGATGCTCTCAACACTGATTCTCACCATCCCTGGAGAACAGCTCCGGTTGACTCTCCCAGTGCTTGAAATCTAGTTCTTCAGTGCAGTTCAGATGGAGGAGGTCAAAAACCAACAGCCACACTGTCAACGGAGACCGTAACGGCATGCACAGTCCCTATCCCTCTCTCTATCCTCGATCTGCTAAGTCCGAAACCAGTTCACAATGGTTAAGTTTTCCAAAACCTATCTCCAGAATTCAAGAGTGCCATAGCTCTCTCGGTGCTAGAATATAATGGATTAGTGAAGTCGTGATCTATTAACACTGAATTGCAAATCCAAGTTCAAGTGTGCTGGGTCTCCAAAAGCAGGGACTCGTGATAGCCACCTTCCAGTGACACCATAGGAGATCAAGCCTGGAGTCCATAGAAGGGGAAGCGCTCCAGGTGATGCTGCTCTACGTAGGACACAGAACTTTCAGAATCTAGTCAGTTAACAAGCCTGGAACTTTCTCGCTGTCCTCCTTCATGGCCCGCAGAATTTTTGTTAATATCTGAAGATCCTCGACAGACGGTGGGCCATTCTTTTTCTCATAAGGGATGACTGTCGTCAAATATGTGCCTGGCATGTGACTTCTCTCATTCCTCCCATTCTGAGAGGTGCCGTTTTTAAGCGTCTTCTTCTTGGCTGTCTCTCTGTACTCTTTCTGCTTGTTCTGCACCTCAATCAGGGCAGAAATAAAGCTGTTCTCCACCTCCTTCTCAAACTCCAGCTCATCTCTCAGAACCAACTGCTGCACCAGCTCCTCGGAGTACTCCCTGATGGCTGTCTCAATTTCTTCCAGCAGCTCATTGAGTTCGGATACTGAGAGCTTTTTCACTTTCTCTTCATAGCTGCTCATACTAGACCTCTTAAGACTCTGGATCTCTTGGGAGAGCATGGAGAGCCGGTCTGACTGTGTGGGGGTCTCGTCATCTTCCGGGTCTGGTGATTTCTGCATCATCTCTTCAGTTTCTTCAGTAACCTGGTCTGCAGTGAAGAGAGGCTCCTCGTTGACACAGGAGACGATGATCGAATGCATATCCAACTGCTCCCTCAGCTCCTCCTCATCTGAGGTGTCAAAGAGCAAGCTGTCACTCATCCCTTTCTCTGAGAGGTTCAGTGTGAGCAAATGCAAAGTATGGGATGACTTCCAGTCTACAGGCATGACATTCCCATAATTGTCTGTTAGGGCATTCCAAATCTCGTCCTCCTGTAAGAGGCTGCGCTTGGTGATGGGCCGCACGGTGGCCCGTGGGGGGCTCGGCGTCCATCGAGGGGCGGAAGCACAGGCTCAGCTTCTCCTCCAGGCTGCAGGCCAAGGCCGGGAAGCTGTCGCCGCTCGCGTGGGCCCCAGCTCCGGCCTCCGGGCTCGCGTTACAGTTCTCCTGGTCCTGGACGCTCCCGGCCGGCTCCTGGAACTCATAGAAATCCTGCCAGTCCCCGTCCGCCGCCATCGCTCCGGCTGCCGGCGCGTACCCCGCCCCAGGCTGGGCCCAGGTTCCCAATCTTAACTGGGCCACCTGCTCTGGAAAGTCTTTTTCTGAGCATCCAAGGTTATAGTGATGGCTTCTCGAATTCCTATAGGGCTTTCTGTCTAATGTGAGTATGCCTGTGTGCAGGCACCTCTAGAGGCTTGTTTCTCTAGCTAAGGGAGAGGGTGACTGAAGACAGAGACATGCCCTATTGATCTCGGCATTCTCCAAAGCACCCGTACAATAATGGAGTGTTGAAAGCTACCATGGTTCCCAGACAGGCCAAGGGGAAGAAAATGGAGAGAGAGATGGAAGACCCCGAGAGAAGACAGGTAAAGAGGACAGAGAAGGGTTGCATGTGGTTGGATTCAGATGCCTACTCAAGGGTTCATCTGAGGGCATCTGTAGTACAGGAGACTAATTACAGAACAAAGCAATTCCCTGACTCAAGGAACTTTCAAGATAACTCATCTAACTTGCACACCTATAATCACAGCACTTGGCTACATAGTGACATGCAGGCTAGCTAGAGCTATATACATGGCAAGCAGACAGTTCAATTAATTCATTTCATTCAAATTAAAACCAAGCAACCTAATGAATACCTAGAGGATAGAAACTTTAAGGAGTTAAATTAATCAAAATCTGCTCTCAGAACGTCTCAAATATGTATGGACAAGGCACCGTCAATTCCTCACACATGTTAACCAAGAACTTTCTCCGCCAAGCTTCATTGGTGTGAGAGTTCACTTTCAACCAGGGTGCTGGTTGTCAAAAATCAATGTTTTGTTCTGAGATAAACTAGAGTTTCCACCTTTGCTAAACATGCTCCTAATCCTCCGTGTGATTAAACTGACTGGGAGCAATAACCTGAAAACATTGAGAGAGTGTGGCTGTGGTCAATTTCCCCCTTCATGCTGCCTTAATCTGGAGTCCCTGCTGCCTGTAATCCTCAGAGTTGTTAATGCCACACACACACATACACCAAATAAATAAGTGGAAGGAGGTTGTAGGCAAACCTGTAAAGCATTTTCCTAATTAGTCACTGATGCGGGAGGGCCCAGCCCATTGTGGGTGGGGCCACCCCTGGGCAGGTGATCCTGGGTTCTATAAGAAAGCAGCTGAGCAAGCATGGGGAGCAAGCCAGTTAATGGTACTCCCCCACAGCCTCTGCATCAGCTCCAGATTCCCGCTCTGTTTGAGCTCTGGACCAGACTTCCTTCAGTTGGACTATGACATGCAAGTGAAAGGCAAATAAACCTCTTTCTCCCCAAATTGCTCTGTTCATGGTGTAGTATAAGACAGGCACTCAGCATTAAATTAAATGTTACTGTTTAAAATATGATATTCTTTAGGGTTTGGGGATCTTCAGTGGATCTTGATGAATATGCAGATTGCAGCTCAATTAGTCTGGGGTAAAGCCTAAGAATCTGCATTTCACACCAACTCCCCAGACCGGTGAGTGTAGCTGGTTTGAGACCATACTTTTTGAGCATTAGTATTAGTATTATTTACAAATGTGTGTCTTTGTGTGGGTATCATTACACACAAGTGCAGGTGCCTATGGAGTACAGAAGAGGACATCAGATTCTGGACTTAGAGCTGGAGTTAGAGGTAACTGTGTCTTGGGTATAAGAACCAAACTTGGGTCCTCTGTGAGAACAGTAAACATTCCTACACGTATTGTTCCAGCCTCTGAGGCTATAATTTTAAGCAAGCCCTGAGCTGCACTGATAAAGGCATGTGACTCTGAAAGAACATGGCCTACTCCAGGAAGCAATCAGTGGACTTAGTGCCAAACAGGAACAGGCCGCAACAAAAGCTTTAAACCACACCATCCTGAAAGATTGGGAGGAGGGGCAGAAATCCATCCTCTGTTGGTTCCAAAGAAAGAGTTCAACAAATTCTAAAAGTAAAAATAATGTAAACATTATCTGTTAATCAATCTGATAAAATTGCTAAAGTATAAAGTCACAAATACATAACATTTTAAATGATAAAGTAAAAATATTGAGCAACAGTCAAATAATTTTACTTCCTTATAAATAAGTTTGAAAAGTCAGACAAAATTCACTCCTGTAAAAAGGATATAAACTACTAAATTAAGACATAAGAAAGACAACTTGTAACTCTGAAAAATATGTTTAAAGTTGTATAGACCCAAATATATCCCCAAACTCAAGGACTAGCGAATATTACAAGTGAGGTCTTTGGAATCTTGAAAGAATTCATATTTAAGTGTTTATTAAACTTTCCAAAAAAAGGAATGAAAACTTCCAGCGATTTGTACAAAACCACCTAAACACTGACTCCAAAACTTCCCAGAAGATGAATGTAGGAATAATAGGAAGCTGCATCCCAATTTTACTTCTAACCATTGATACAAGAATCCTAAATAAAACTTTAGTGATAAGAATTAAACAGTATTTTTAAAGACCTATGACAAAGGGCTAGAGAAACGGCCCAGCAGTTAAGAACACTTGCTCTTGCAAACAACCCAGCTTTGGTTCCCAGCACCCACATGATGGCTCACAACTCTCCATAACTCCAGTTCCAGGAGATCTGATGCCTGATGCCTTCTAACCTCTTCAGGCACCAGGCACACGTGTGGTACACATACACATATATGTAGGCAAACCCCTTACACACATAAAATGAATAAGTCTTTTTTTTAAAGCCCCATAACAAAAGCAATCCAGTCTTGGAATTTACCTTTGGTTTAATATCAACAAATTATCACACTCCAGGAGCAAAGGAGAAAACAAGCTAAATACCCTCAATAGATAATTTTTTTTAAAGGCATCTGTAAAGCACAACATCAAAGCTGGCTGTCAAGCCCGGTGTCATGGAACACACCTATCATCCCAGCACTTGAGATGTGAAAGCAAGGAGACTGTGAGTTTAAAGCCAGTCTGGGTGATATAGCAAGACCCTGTCTCTAATCATCATCATCATCATCATCATCATCATCACCATCATCCAGTTGCTGGAGAGGTATCTCAGAGGTTAAGAGCACATACTGCTCCTGCAGAGCATTCTAATTCAGTTTCCATCATTCCTTCAGGGTGGCTTGCAAACTCCTGTAACTCCAGTTTCAAGGACTCTGACACCTCTGGCTTCTATGTGTTCCTTCAAGCACCTGGTACACATAAACTCACACAGATATATATAAAATATAAAATCAAATTTAAAAAACCAACAACAACAAAAGCCTACAAAAAATTGACAGTCTTACAAATCCTAATTCCTTAAAAGAAAAAAAATTCAGTTGTTCAAATAAAGCTATAGTCATCAAAACATTGATAATGGCATTAGAACTAGACATTGTTCAATGAAGGGAATTGGGAGTCTAGAAATAAACCCAAACATTTAAGGTCAATTGATTTCAATAAGTCTCAAGATAACTCAATGGGAAAAGGAAGATTCTTCACCGCATGATGCTAAGACAACCAGATATCCACAGGCAATTTGGATCCTGCTTCATACCACATACAAAAATTAACTAAAAAATTAATGAGTAATGTAACATAGAAGTGACACCTATAAAATTCTCAGAAGAAATATAAAATCAAACCTTCATAATTTTGGCCCTGGCAATGTCTTCTTAGCCACACCACCACCTTACAATATTATTTAAAATGTTTTGCTCGAAAGATACCATCAAGAACAGGAACAGAGAATCAGGTGGGGTGTCACACTCCCACAGTCCCCTGACTCAGCAGTCTGAGGAAAGATGATCAAGAGTTTAAAGTTAGCACCAGGTGGTATAACAAAAGACCTTGTCTCAAAACAACCAAAAAATAAAAACATAATCCACAGAAGAGAAAATATTTGCAAACCACATGTCTTAGAGGGTATTCACATGCAGGATACATAAGAACTTTAACTACTCAAAAATGAAGAAATAATTCAATTTTAAAAAGGGGAGGGATCTGAATATTCTCCATGCTCAATAAGCACAAGGAGCGATAGTCAGGTCAGCAGCATAAGCCACTGGGTGCAAGTCATCACTTGCAAACTACTTCATACTTGAAAGAGATTTGAAAAATTATGTGGCAATTCCTTAAAGTGATAAGCCCAGATTGCTACATGACCCAGTAATCCTATAGAACTGAAAACACATGTCCACACAAAGACCTCCCCTGGCCTGTTCCTAGCAATGTTGTTTGAAAGAATAACCAAGAAGAAATTTTCCAAATGGGGAGTGGTTGCCTCGGGGAGTGTTTGGTGTCATGAAAAGGCTGTGGGATTGATTTTGCAGTGGTTATGTGGCTCTGTTGCTGTACTAAAAAGTGATTGGGCTACACACTTAAAAGGGAGGATTTTTCTGTGGCTTGTGGGTGTCATCTCAGTGAAGGTCTTGCTCAGTGAAGTTGTTACTTAAAAGCAGATTTTCTAGTGAGTGCTGGGTAACATTTGTGTCCTTTTAAGGCCTGAGTTGATAGGCAAAATGGAAATATTGCTCTCTGGAGATAGAGCTGAGACAATAAAACCAGGTTAATCTTATCTTAGTAATTCTCATGAAAATGGGATTATTTCTGACCCACTTTAAAGCTTGCCAGCCTGAATGCCTCTCAGCTGAGGAAGTCCCGGTCTCTTCAGTTCTGTAGAAACAAGCAGATGCCTAGAGAAGTTGTCTGAAGACATGGTAAACTGAGTGGTGTGATTCCTTCGCCTACGTACTGTGGGGTCTTAAACAACACATGGAAGCTCAGGTCTTTAGTTGCCCCTCCTACAAAACAGAAATAACAGCTTTTAGCTCACAGGGTGTTGAGATGTAACTAGTACATAGTGCTAGGTCTTAAATACAAATAACTGATGGGTGTTGGCTGCCCTTGAAGAGCTGAATATGTGATTCTGCAAAAGAAAGGGAGGAACAGAGGCATACTAATATCTGATCCTTTAATGGGAGTGAAGAGAATGGTTGGCTCCCTTCCCACAGAAATGTTTCTTTGTCTCAGAGACTGTCTGTCACTACTTCT